AGATACAAGGTTGTATATGATTACATGGAATACGAAAGGTTTAACTGTAACTGCTGTTGCGGTTCGATACAGTGACGACTCGGGTAACTGCTCAATAGCGAGTCAGTTATTTGTCCTTGCTGTCGCGCTGCCTTTGTGTTGAAATGTATTTGTATACATTAATATACCTGCGTACGGTAGATCCTAGTGTAGCTATATGTTTCTTGTTTTGGTGGTGCACCCTCTCCCTTCCCCATATATGTCATTGTTTTGCTATAGTGAAACCATCCTTTTCTCGACACTTCTCCTCAACTCTCTCGATAGTCCATGCCTAGCCTAAACACTAGCATGGCTCCTAAGCTTTCCCCTCCCTACTAAGCTACGTATTCTAACATGCTATCAGAGTAGGTCGCTTTTAGGACCTAATGTTCATGGGCCCACCACCTACTGCCCTGCTAGCCTAGGCCCCGACCCGTCGCCCCTTGGCATCGCCCCTAGCCCCTAGGCTCGGCCCCTTGGCCCCGTCGCCCCTAGCCGCGACCCCTAGGCCCCGTCGCCTCGGCCCCTTGGCCCCGTCGCCCCTAGCTGGAGCCCCTCGGCCCCTTGGCCCCGTCGCCCCTAGCTGGAGCCCCTCGGCCCCTTGGCCCCGTCGCCCCTAGCTGGAGCCCCTCGGCCCCTTGGCCCCGTCGCCCCTAGCTGCGGCCCCTAGGCCCCGTCGTCTCGGCCCCTCGCGACCCTAGGCCCGTCGCCCCGTCGCCTCGGCCCCTTGGCCCCGTCGCCACTAGCCGCGGCCCCTAGGCCCCATCGCCCCCAACTGCGGCCCCTCGCGACCCTAGGCCCGTCGCCCCGTCGCTTCGGCCCCTTGGCCTCGTCACCCCTAGCCGCGGCCCCTAGGCCCCGTCGCCCCCAGCTGCGGCCCCTCGCGACCCTAGGCCCCGTCGCCTCGGCCCCGGTGCCCCGTCACCCCTAGCCGCGGCCCCTAGGCCCCGTCGCCCCCCAACTGCGGCCCCTCGCGACCCTAGGCCCGTCGCCCCGTCGCCTCGGCCCCTTGGCCTCGTCACCCCTAGCCGCGGCCCCTAGGCCCCGTCGCCCTCAGCTGCGGCCCCTAGCAACCCTAGGCCCCGTCGCCTCGGCCCCTTGGCCCCGTTACCCCTAGCCGCGGCCCTCGTCGACCCGTCGCCCCGTCGCCCCTAGCTATGGCCCCTCGCGACCTGCCGCCCCTAACCGCGGCCCCGTCGCCTCTAGCCTCGGCCCCTCGCAGCCTGTTGCCCCTAGCCACAGCCCCGGTGCCCTGTCGCATCATGGAGGGTAAGGGGGTGGCAAGAGGGGTGATGGTTTCTTCCTGCCCGCGTGCCCTGCAGTCGCACGCGCAGCTCCGCCCCCGCTCCCCTCCCCCCCCTCCCCCCCCTCCATGGGGACGAAGGGGAGAGGGTGTGAGGGGGTGGCGGATGTGCCTCAGCAGCAGCAGCTGCCGCCTCGCCTCCTCCTCTCTCTCTCCCTGCCGCACCTTGTGTTGGGAGGGGGGGGGGAGCTTGGAGGTTCAGGGGGAGGCAGGAGGGGATCTGCAGCACCAGCCCCCCCCGACCCCCCTTTCTCCTCCATCCCTGGGGGGTGAAGGATTGTGGAGCACCAGTGGGGGGGAGGGGATCTCCAGCACCAGCCCCCCCCGGCCCCCCCTTCTCCTACCTCCCCCTGCTGCGGGTGCAGTAGTGGGGAGGAGGGGATCTGCAGCACCAACCCCCCCCGTCCCCCCCTTTCTCCTTCATCCCTGGGGGGTGACGGATAGTGGAGCAGCAGTGGGGGGGAGGGGATTTTCAGCATCAGCCCCCCCCCGCCCCCCCTTCTCCTCTCTCTCTCCCTGCCGCACCTTGTGTTGGGAGGGGGGGGGGAGCTTGGAGGTTAAGGGGGCGGCAGGAGGGGATCTGCAGCACCAGCCCCCCTCAGCCCCCCCCCCCCTTCTCCTCCATCCCCCTGCTGCGGATGCGGCAGTGGGGGGGAGGGGATCTGCAGCACCAGCCCCCCCGCCCCCCCTTCTCCTCCCTCCCCCTGCTGCGGGTGCAGCAGTGGGGGGGAGGGGATCTGCAGCACCAGCCCCCCCCGCCCCCCCCCTTCTCCTCCATCCCCCTGCTGCAGGTACAGCAGTGGGGGGGGAGGGTATGGGGGTGGCGGGTGTGGGTGACCTGCTGCCGCCTCTCCTCCTCTCTCTCCCACTGCTGCACATGCCGCTGTGGGTGGGGGGGGGGGGGGGGGGAGGGTGTGGGGGAGTTGAGGGAGTGGCAGTAGGGATGCTGAGGGGTGTGAAAGGGAGGTTTGGGGAAATGGGGGAAGGTGAAGGGGGGTGAACGCCGTGAAGCCAGCAGCTCCAGTCGCCTGTGAGACCGTTGCGCCAGTTGCCCATGAGCCCGTTGCTCCTGTCGCCCGTGAGTCAGTTGCTCCTGCCGCTCGCTTAGCCGCGGAGCCAGTTACTCCATTTGCCCGTGTGCCAGTTGCTCCATTTGCCAGTGTGCCAGTTGCTCCAGTTGTCCGTGTGCCAGCAGCTTCAGTCGCCACCCACCACCTCCTCTCCTCTCATGGTCCCTCCTCGTCACTTTCCCTCTCCTTCCTCAGCTGCGCCTGGTGTACCCCTTCAGGGGGTGCTGTTGCACATGGTTCTCACTGTAGGCAGCTAGGGGGTGTGTTGAAATGTATTTGTATACATTAATATACCTGCCTACAGTAGATCCTAGTGTAGCTATATGTTTCTTGTTTTGGTGGTGCACCCTCTCCCTTCCCCATATATGTCATTGTTTTGCTATAGTGAAACCATCCTTTTCTCGACACTTCTCTTCTCAACTCTCTCGATAGTCCATGCCTAGCCTAAACACTAGCATGGCTCCTAAGCTTTCCCCTCCCTACTAAGCTACGTATTCTAACACTTTGTCGAGTCAAAGGTTGCCGACCTTTGACCTTCGCTTCAACCTCCTTCTGTTGTCGCCTTGTCAACCGCTTTGCTGTATCTTGGTTGACTTGGTGTTGCTTCGCTGTAGATATGTTTCGTTCTTGTTATAGTGCTCGATATTTCAGAAGCACAAACTAGATGTTTCCAACACAAAGGAGCTGTTCGAGCACAACTGGGATTTGCTCGGCCCAGCCTTGATACAGTTTGTCGGAAATTTCGCGTGCACAGCGTCGCTACCCCACAGCGTCTCAACGGCGGTAACGATCTTGCTGCACAAGAAAGGGAGGAAAGAGGAGTTAGGGAACTACAGACCGATCAATATGTTAAGCACGGTCTACAATGTGCTGGCGAAAGTAATGGCGACAAGGTTAAAGAAAGTCATGCACGAGGGGGTGTCGGAGGATCAGGCCGGTTTCTTACATGGACGGAAGCTGGCGGACACGGTTTCTTAGGTGGTGGCTGACGCCATCGAAATGGGCGCCAGTGGAAGAGAGGACTGGTTTCTGCTGATGGTCGATTTCCAAATAGCCTTTGACTCCATCTCGAGATCCTTCCTCTTCCGCACGCCGAGAGGCATGGGTATCCCTGAGGAGTTCGTGGCCTGGACGGAAGGGCTGCACAAGGAAGCAGGGACAATGGTATACGTCAATGGCTGGACAGGAGACACAGTCGCGGTGGAAAAATGAGTGCGGCAGGGGTTTGCGCTGGCCCCGTACCTCTTTCTATGCGCGGTGGAGCCGCTATGCCAGGAGATTGCACGACGGAAACTGGGCGTCGGTGGAAGACACACGGGGAGGCTGGCGTATCTAGGATACGCCGATGACACATCACTCCTGCTGCAAGGGGAGGAGCAGCTGACGGCTGCAGCCGAAGTACTTGACGATTTCGGGAACGCGTCGGGGCTGAAGGTGAACCTGGAAAAAACGGTGGTGTTCCCGCTCGGGAGGAATAAGGGGAAGCTGCCGCCGCCGGACCTGCAATACAAGTGGGCGGATAAAGACGAACCGGAACGATTGCTGGGTGTGTGGATCACACCGAACGGAGACCCGTTGCCATCCTGGGAGAAAGCGTTGGATAAGGCAAGGAAGGAGTTAGCCAAATGGGAGATGCAGCATCTAACTACATCGGCAAGGGTCACGATTATCAACGGCTACATCACACCGATCTTCATGTTTCAAGCATACATATACCCACCAACAAAGGTTCAGAAGATCTGCCATAGCTTCGTGTTAGGGGGGCAGGCGACAGACGAGAAAAGCTTCATCCTCTGGAACTATGAGCTGGTCCGCACCCCCATGGAGGACGGGGAGTTAGGGATGATTTGTCCCAAGAAAAGATTTGACAGCATAGCAGTGCAAATGTCGGCCGGCTGATGCTGCAGGCGAAGAACTTAGTTAAGAGGTGGTTGACGGCGCGTGCAGCCGCGATGCCTCTGGGCCTGGACACGGTCTACACACACAAGTTCCTGCTCAAGCACTAGAACGACGGTAGCAAGAGGTGGAAAGATATGACATGGGCCTTCTGAGAGTCCCCTTTCCGTGTCGCTCCAGAGCCGACAAACTGCTGGGAAGCCGTAAGGGAGCAGTTAGCGTTTAATCGGCGCATACCTTCCAGGGGAGCCAGCCCTATCGGGAATCAGAAGGGCTCAGGCTACCTGATGGGAATGACGCTGGGTGACGTGATATGGCGGCGGGATAGCGACGCACGGGAGCTGAAGGATGTGAGGGTTTTGACGAGCAAAATCGGCGGCGAGGACGCGGCAAAGTGGGCGCTGAAAGCTTTTGCGGCGGCGCCGATCGAATGGAGGAACATGGTGCTGGAGCTGACGAGCGAGGATGTAACAGCCAAAATACCCGTGCTGCGGTACCCAAGGGGAGCATCTGCAGGTCACACACTCTGGAAGGTTAGCGGCAAGGAGGGTGATTAGCTGTGTCAAGAGAACGAAAATGGTACCTTCACAGTTTGCGAGGGGAAAATTTTATCGGTCAACTTCGGGCTCCAGAGTGGGGAGCCAATGTCAGCTCATGGTGACAAGGTGTTGGGGCCGATGGATGAAGCGCGAATAAAATTCCTACAGTCTAAGCTAAGCAAGGACGGGGAGGTGCTGCCGCTGAAAGAAATCAGGAGGGTCTAGGTCAGCTCGGCAGGCACAGTAAAGGAGCAGAGGAGATGGTTCGGAGAGGGAAGGATCATCGAGTGGGGAGGGGTCATCAAGCAGAGGAACTCCCTCGCCACACCTGCCCGGGCACGGGAAGTTCTGTTGCGGCTTCACTGTAGAAATCTGCAAGTCGGAGAGCGGCTCTTCTTTCTAAAGAACAAAGTTGTCTGCCCACACTGCAAAGAAGATGAGACACCGGAGCACTGCCTGCCCGGCTGCCCGACAATTCAAAGAGTGGTGCGGTTTTTGCGAAAGGGACTGGCCACAATTAACCCGCAGCAGAGTTGGTAAGGGTAGAGGATCTGCTCTTCATACAGAAGAGCACGAAGTCAGGCTTTCCGGAGAGCTCCCTCATCGCCACCACACTTCACCAGGTGTGGTTGGCAAGGTGTGACGCGATACATTGAGACATCAAATTCCAACCGAAGTGGGTGTTGCGTCAGGTCGTGGTGAAGTTTGTCGCACACGCAAGAGTGTACTGTCTGGCGAGGCAAGTGACGGCACGAAAACGGGGTGCGATAGACAGCAGTGATGACTGGACGTATTTGGCAGCTGACGAGGCGGTGGTGATAAGGCGGATCCGCAGAAAGGGGGCACCGCTAACGTGGAAGGGTATCTTCAGCTCCATCTGGATACTCAGTACCATAGATGACTCGCCAACCACCATAGGCCCGCTATAGGGAATACGCGGTACTCAGTACTGTGGCGCTTCCCTCCCAACTCAGTTACGACTGCCGATGCTTTGTACATTCCTCATAGTGTACTTATTGCTTAAAAAAACATTACATAATGAATGACATATATTCTCTACAAGCAGCTCAATAACATGTCTTGCCTAGTGTTGGAAACAAGTGAATTATAACGCTTCTGTCGTATCGAAGCTTCGACACAAAACGGATCTTACTACAGCGAAGAAGCACTCGAGTAAACCTTCGGAGGTTGCGCGAAAGTCAAAGGCCTCCGACCTTTGACCTGACGAAACGTACAGTGCGACAGCAAGGACACATAACTGACTCGTTACAGAGCAGTTACCCGAGTCGGCACTGTATCGAACCGCAACAACAAAACAGTTAAAACAGAACTTTCCATATTCCTTTGTAATCATATAAAAGCCTTGTACTTCTCTGCTATTATCAACTTGTTCTCACAAACTAGCACAAGGTGGTTCACGACAATTCTTCTTTAAACGCTTCCGCTATTACATCTCTACTTCAACACCCGATCTTAGTCCTGAAAAGTTCCTAAGGGCTTTTCTCAGCCCAACACCTAGAATCTCATTCGGTAGCTTCATTTCCAAATTTGATATTCCGCTGTCACAACCTTGAATGTGTCATTGTGTGATCCATTATAACAATGCTTGTGTAAGCGTGATGGATTCAGGCTGAAAGAAGGCCCATCCGAATAACCACCTAAACCATTTAATTTAACCTTTTGAATGGCTGCTCAGTGCACTTATGCCCTGGTTTGACCGTGCTTCTGTACAGCAGGACTTAGAAAGCATGAATGGGCCAACTTTGCTGTTTTCCTTTACCTCATACAACTTGTAAACTGAGCAGTGCTGCATTATCTTCTTTGAACTGTAGGTTGCACTTCTCTTGGCTTCTCTGATCCTACTCTGCTTTTCTGCGTCTTGTTGGACCCCCCTTCCCGCCCTTCTGATGCATTGTCGACCCCGTATTCCTTCCACCACCACCCGTTCCCTTGCCCTTATGCAACCCACCAGCAACACCACCACCGGCAGCAGCACCAGCAGCACCAGCAGCGCCAGCAGCACTCATACCCCCACCAGCGCCAGCAGCACCAGCAGCAGCAGCAGAGAGGGCAGCACCCGTACCACCACCAACGTCCTGGGAGTCCTCTGTGAAACTGGAGAGGCCAATGCTCTCACCCAGACGCACATGAGCCGTGGCCGCCCATCCACCACTCTCATCATCACCTTTCTCACTATCCGTATCAGCGTCACAATCAGCATCCGCAACAGCATCAGCATCAGCATCAGCACCAGCACCAACATCAGCTTCATCAGCATCAGTAATGCCGTTACTGTGACCCGCATTGACTGTGTGAAGTGGTTTTGCTGAAAGTATGCGCTTCTTTCTCTTCTCAACAGCTTCCTTGACAGCTTCCACTCTTTCCTCCCTCTCATCCTTCCCCTCCTCTTCTTTCTCCTCCTCCCCCTTCACCTCCCCCTCCTCTTCTACCTCCTCCTCTCCCTCCCCTTTCCCCTCCTCCCCCTCCTTCCTCCCCTTTTCCTCCTGCTTCACTGGTGCCCTCAAACGTTTCTGACTGCTGCGTACGTCGGCCAATGAGGCGACAACAGCTGGCTCGGTGTCAAATAGCACGTGTGGCAGTGGGGAGGCGTGCATGGAGGAGGGGCGGGCGAGGAGGGTAATAAACCAGTCGGGGGAGACCAGCGCGGGGGAGTTGGCGTGGCGAGAGGGGGCGAGCAGGCGACGTGCCACAGGGTCTCTCTCAGACGTCTCTGTGATGGGGTGAAGGGGGAGTGGGGATGAGGGCAGGTTGAGGGAGGTTACACCACACAGACATTACGGGCCAGCAGAAGATGGGGGATATGGATGGTGTGGTGTGGTGTTTACTACGAGCCTTGTAAGACTAAAAATATGCTAGGGGGAGAGCAGGGGCCGTGCCATGCCACGGGGCCTCTCTCAGATGTTTCTGTGGACGGTGGATGTGTGGGTGGGGTTGGGATGAGGGCGGGTGGTGATGGGGAACTGGTATCAATGACCGACTGAATGTGGACGATAGGGATAGCGTGGTGTTTTGGAGCAGGATGTAAAGGAAGTTGGAATAGATGGAATGAGCTTGGGTATCACAGCAACATCAGGAGAATGGAGGAGGTCGGATGTGGTGTGTGAGATTCCAAGTGAAGGCAATATTGCATGAGGCAGAATCTGGTTGTTGGCTCCCGTATACTAAAAAAAAGAAATGTTCATTGATCTGACTTAGGGAGTGGTGGTAAAACCAACTAGGAGTGGAAGAAACAGATACGTATTTGCTATGCGTAGTTTTGTCCAGCGGAGTAAGGCTGAGAGCAAAGGGAGGTGGAGTGGAGCAGAGAAGCGGAGATGAGGTGCAAGGGAAACAGGCAATGTCACGACAACAAGCTCATAAGCGCACACGCTCACAAGCACACCAGCCCACCTGGCTTGAGCAAAGTAGTGTCAAAATAAGGTGCGAGAGCCACACAGGGCTCCGAGGCTCGAGTCAGACCCATCCATACACTCATAGACACACAAAGATGTTAATGCTAGCCGTCAATCTCACCTTTTGTACTTGCACTTTATATCCTAGTTTAGTGTAGTTTGCACTTTGTGTTTGGTTGGGTGTACACCCACATCCCAACCAAACTCAAATGTGATCTCCAAGCAATCTCCAACCCACCAATTGAAGACTGCCTTGGGATTACCCCCAATCCCTAGGGATTGCCCCCGATTCCCTCCCCATCCATACCTAGCTCATTTCTGGATGTACTTAAGAGCTTCAAGCTCATTACTAATGTATCCATTCTAAGCTCCAACTCTCACAAAAGATACCCGCCCAGCAGCCCACCAGCCAACCAGCCCCAGCGGCCAACCAGCACACCAGCCAACCAGCCCACCAGCCAACCAGCCCACCAGCCAACCAGCCCACCAGCCAACCAGCCCACCAGCCAACCAGCCCCACCTGGCTTGAGCACGACAAAGTCAAACTGTGGGGCGAGAGCCGCTGCCACACAGGGCTCTGAGGCTCGAGTCACAGCCGCACCCCCTGCCGTGAGTATGCGATGCAGCACATCCTGCAGGCGTGGATGAGCATTGGGGGAAGAGAGCGAGGAGAAGATTTAAAGTTATAGGAGGAAGGGGCAGTATGAGCAGCAGAGAGCAGCAAGAAGCAGCATCAGCAGGACAGAGCAGGCCATAGCACAGAGAGGGGCTAACTGGTGAGGCACTTGCAGCACCCCAGCACACCATGACGTGCCCTACACGACAGACACAACTGACTTACCAACATCTCCCTTCATACACGTACCATGGAATGGAATCAGGGCTGTCAGACGGAGGCACCAGCAGCGCCCGTGCTCCATGGAAAACCCCTCTCCCCCCGTGCCTCTCGCACTGTTGTCGCCACCTGCTGGGCGCTGCCAGCTCCACCGTGCCGTCCCTGTTGCTGCCCCCCACCCCCCTCACCCTCCTCACTCTCAAATGACCACTCTGGAATGCCCCCTCCCCTTCCCCTCATTCCTCCTCCTGAACTGCAACCACTTCCGGCCTGGCAGCATTTCCCTTTGATTCACGTGTCACGTACCATGGAGTTAGGGCTGTCAGCTGGAGGCACCAGCAGCACCCGTGCCCCGTGAAACGCCCCTCAGCCCCCATTCCTACCACACTGCCGGCGCCACTGGCTGGGCGCTGCCAGCTCCACAGTGCCGTCCCTGTTGCTGCCCTCACCCCGCCACCCCCGCCACTCTCATATGACCACGCTGGAATGCGCCTTCCCCCCATTCCACCTTTACTGTACGTACCATGGAATCAGGACTGTCAGACGGGGGCACCAGCAGCACCCGTACGCCATGAAAAGCGCCTCGCCCCCCATTCCTGCTGCACTGTTGTCGCCATTTGCCAGGCGCTGCGAGCTCCACCGTGCCGTCCCTGTTGCTGCCCTCGCCCCGCCACTCAAACGGGCCCTCTGGGAGGAAATGACCGGCTGTGGCGCTGGCTGTGAGGTAGTCTGGAGTGAGCACCCACCTGGGGTGATGGCGATGGGAGGGCAAATGGAAAGACGGTGGTTAGAGGAAAATTTGGGAGACGGGGATGAGAGGACGAGGGTCAGTTGGTGCCGCCTCTGTTGCTGCCTCACCCCGCCACTCACAGAGAGCCCTGGGGAGGAAATGGCCTGCTGTGGCACTCGCTGTGAGATACTCTGGTGTAAACACCCACCTGGGGTGACGGTGATGGGAGGGTGGATGGAAAGATGGTGGTTAGAAGGAGAATGGGGAGACGACGATGCGAGGGTGAGGGCCGTCCTTGTTGCTGCACTCATAGGTGAGATGAGCAGCGGTGCAATGCGGTGAAACGAGGTGCACCCATCAACCCACTGTCCAGCAGCCAGGGCAGCAATGAGCTTCTCAGTGCGCTTGAGGGGAGGGGGCAGGCAGGATGACTTGCGTGGCCTTGGGGTGGGCAGCGGTGTAATGCAGTGAAAAGAGGTGCATCAAGCAACGCACCGTCCAGCAGCCAGGGCAGCAATGAGCTTCTCAGTGCGCTTAAGGGGCGGGGGCAGGATGACATGCGTGGCCTTGGGATGCCACTGTAGCTCTGCTCCCTCCCCCTTCTCACCTCTCCTCCCTCCTCTCCCACCTCCCACTCTCCCTTCAGAGCCCCCTGCCTCTCCACACACGCGCCCGCCCAGGCGGGTGACAATGGCCCTCAGTTGCCCTTCACTGCGTGATGACCCTCCCAGCAGAAACCACCGCTCCCCGCCACCCCACATGCTCATCTCCGCCCCTCCCTTGCCTCCACTGCCCTCTGGTTCGCCCCGTTCGTCCCCCCGTTTTGTTGCTGCAACAGGGTCTCGTTTCTGCCCGTCTGGCTGGTCGCAGCTCTTGCTGCTGGCACGACCACCAACGCTGCCACCAGCACCAGCAGCACCAGCAGCAGCACCACCCGCGCCACCACCGCTGCCACTGGGGCTGGAGCTGCTGATTGGCTGGAAAAACCGCGTGATAGGAGTCAGGGAATCAGCGCGAGCTTTGTTAGCAGTAAGCTTGGTGGTTGGAGCAGCAGGTTTGGTGGTGGGAACAGGCTTGGCAGTAGGAGCAGGCTTGGCAGTAGCGGCAGGCTTGGCAGTAAGAGCAGGTTTAGCAGTAGGAGCACCCCCTTTCTTGCGTGCACCTTTCTCCTCTGCGCTCTCCTCTTCCTCTCCACCCGAGCTCCCACTCACTCTCTTCCGTCCTGTGCTCTTCACACCCTTACCACTGCCCTCCTCTGCCCGCTTCGGCCCCCTCTTCCTACCAGTCCCAGCAGCTTCGGCCCTTGCATCCACACCAGCCCCGTCCACAGCTCCAGCAGCAAGTGCCCTTTTGCATGAAAATTCACCCAGCTCTTCTTCCTCACCCTGAACATCCGCCTCACTCACAAGGTCCTCCCTACCCTCAGCGTCCTCCTCACCCCCTTGTACCATCACAATATCATCATCACTCTCCTCCCCATGCACTGCCACAACGTCATTATCACTCGCTCTCCCAACACCTATCTCTTCACCACTCTCTTCCCCCTCAACTACCTCATTGTCAACACCTATTGCCTCTCCTTTCCTTTTCGCATCACACTGGATACCTGCACCTCCTTTCCCTCTCTTCTCCCCTCCTTCTGCACCCTTGCCACTCTCAACACACTGCTTCTTCCCACCCCGCGTCTCTCCAGCCGTCCCAGACTCATTATTCCTCCGCTTTGCAGCAGCAACAGCAGAAGCAGCAACAGCAGCAGCAGCAATATCTGCCTTGCCTCTACCGCCCCTACATTTCCCCTTCACCTCTTCTCCCTCGCCTTCCCTCCCCTCTGCATCTCCATGTGCCTCTTGCTGCTGCTTTACCCTTTTGAGGCGCTTCAAAACCCTCCGCTGCTGTTGCTGCTCTCTCTTACATTCTTCCTCCCATCCAACCTCGCTCCTTTCAGCGTCTACGTCCCCCTGTTGCTGCTGCTGCTGCTGCTGCTCTCTTCCATTCCCCTGCTGCTGCTGCTCCTCCTCCTCCTCCTGTTGCTGCTGCTGCTGCAGCCCTCTCCCAGCTTCACCCCCAAGCTCGTCCACTGCACACACCATCCTTCGGTCCGCTCTCTCCTCTTCCCGCTGCTTCCCATCGCTTAAGGGATCTTCTCGGCGTTTCGTCCTCAGCTCCCTTTCCTGGCCAGCCCTATGCACCTTCTCTTCCCCAGCTGCAGCACCGCCCTCCACCTCCCCCCATCCCTCTCCACCACATATCGCCCCTTCATCCAACCCATCCACCCGAACCTCCCCTTCCTCCACCTCCCTTCCATCCACACCCTCCACATCCCGCCGCCTCTCCCCCTCTCGTCGCTCATCCCCTTTCCTCTTCTTCCCGCCCCCATCCCTCTCCTCTCTCCCCGATTTCCCTGCATTTCCCTCCTTTCCCCCCTCTTCTCCGCCCTCTGCAGCCATCGAGCGCAGGCCATGCCTCTTCCTCTCCACGCTTCTGCCCCGTCTCCTACCTCCCTCTCTCCCCACTCCTCGTTCCCCCCTCTTCACCTTGTCACTGCTCCCGCCCCTCACCAACCCCTTTCCACGCACCTCCTTCTCAAGATTCATCTTTTCACAATCCGCCTTTGCAACATTCTCCTTCCCTCCTGCCGGCTTTCTCCGGTGGAACGTTTTGACCAATGAGGAGGGTGCCACGTGGCCTATGACCACATCACCCTGCAGCCAATCAGGAAGAGAGGAGACAATCGGGCCGTCCCCATCCTCATCCCCCTTACAAGCAGCCTCGTTCTCCTTGCCAGTGCCAGCATTAGCCCCATCCCCGTTGCAACTATCCACATCACCATCACGACAAACAGGTTTGTCAACATCCTTATCACACATAGCATCATCCTCATTCTTTCCACCTCCAGTGTTCCCCCCGTCACTGTTCCTCCCCTCAAAGTCCCCCCCTTCACTTTTACCCCCCTCAGCACCACCACAAGCCTCCCTAGCACCAGCTACCGCATCGTCATTCCCCCCTCCCATCGCACCATCATCAGTCCCTCCTCCCATTACACCACCACCCCCATCCCCCCTTCGCACCTCCTCCATCGCATCCTTGCCATCACCACAGCCACCACCCTCCTTGTGCATCGACCTAGCCTGAGGGCCACCCACCCTCTCCCCACTGCCACCTCCACCCCTCTCCACCGGACTGGAACGTTGAGAAGGACGATCCGCCCTCTCCGCACTGCTACCTGTACCCCTCTTTACCGGACTGCAACGTTGAGAAGCACAATCCACCCTCTCCCTACTGCCGCCTCTCTGCTCCTCCCTGAGACGCCCCACTTGGAGATTCCCACCCTGCCTGCTGGGCCCTGCACGCTTGCCACTGCTCACCAGCACCCCCACACTCTCCTCAGCTCTGCCGCTACAGCCTCTCCCCTCTGCACGTTTGCCAGCAGCAGCAGAAGCGGCACGGCCGGAGCTGCAGCTCAGTCCACCCATATCCACCGCCATGCCTATGCCCGTGTGCCGCTCAGTCCTACCCGCGTGTGCGGTGCGCAGCCCGTATGCACTCCCTCCCACACGCCTGTTGCCAGCAGCAGCAGCAGCAGCAGCAGCAGCAGCAGCGGCACCACGGCTGGAGCTGCAGCTCAGTCCACCCATATCCACTGCCATGCCTATGCCTGCGTGCATGCCACTCAGGCGCAGTGGCTGGGATTGCAGCTGGGAGGGCAGCTGTGAGGGCAGCTGGGCTGATGAGACCTGTCCGCCCATATCCACCGGCATGCCTATGCCCGCGTGCATGCCACTCAGGCGCACTGGCTGTGATTGCGGCTCGGTTGGCGAAGGTACTGCTGCTGCCATTGATTCAGCAGCTCGCTCCTCGTGTTCCTCTTGCTGCTGCTGCTGGCAAACTTCCATTTGCGATGTTTTCTCGGTCGTTCGAACCGGAACATTCCCAGTGCCAGCTGCCACGGTAGCCACATCACCGGCTGCATCTGCCACATCAGCAGCCACACTTCCTTGCCCGCTTGCCTGAAGTGGACTCACCACTCCAGCTGTAGCACGCTCACCTGCCACACCACCTGCCACACCACCTGCCACACCACCTGCCCCACCACCTGCCCCACCACCTGCACCACCACCTGCCACACCACCTCCTGAATCGCCCCCCTCGCTCACAGAGTCGAAGATGCCTCGGAGGTTCACAACAAGACCCTGTGCACCAGGGGACTCCTCCCCGCCCTCACTCCCCCCCTCGCCCTCCCCGCCTTGCCTCTCTCGCCCTTGCCCGCCCTCCCCAGCCCCAGCCTCATCTAGTTGCTCCCACATGTCCCCCTGTCCCATCTCCTCATCCCCCTTTTCACACTGCTCCTCCTGTCCCATCTCCTCTCCCTCCTCCCCTCCCTCCTCCTCAGTTTCCGCATCCTCCATGTCCTCTTGCCCACAAAGCACCTCCTCCCCTTGCTCCTCCCGTTGCACTTCCCCCATCTCCTCTCCTTCCTCATCTCCTCTCTCCTCGCCTTCTTCTTCTTCATCCCCCTCTTCCTTCATATCCTCATTACCCTCATCGTCCCCATCCTCCCGCTCCTGCACCCTCCATTCCTCTACCCCGCCCTCCTCTCCCACTCCCTCTTCTCGCCTCATACCACCTCCAGGTTCTCTCACCACCACTTCAACTGCCTTCCCAGACCCCTCCCCACCTCCCTCTCGTCCCCTGCGTGTTCCACAGCCTACATCCATTGCCCCAGCACCCTGTATTCCCACACCTCTAAGCACACTCCCCTCCACCTCTCCACCCCCCACCCTCACAACACCACTCTCCCGTGGATGTGCACCCCCCGCCCTGTCCGCTTCTGTCCTTTCCTCACAACCCACCGCCCCACCTGCCGCATCGCCCCCTCCATCACTCACAACAGCAGCAACAGCACCAGAAGCAGCTACCTCATTAGCAGCACAAATGGCAGACGTCGCATGAGTGACAGGAGTGGCATGCGTCGCACGAGTGGCATTAGTGGCATGAGTGGCGTTATTGGCTGTCCTCCCCACCACAGCCTCGCCTGCACTCTTCTCTAACGAGCCTCCGTTGGCATGTGCAGCACCGATCTCATCTCTCGTGATAACTCGATTTCTCTCGTTACCATGTGCGTTGGCAACTGCAGCACCAATGCCATCTGTCGTAACTCGATTCTTCTCGGCACCATGTGCGCTGGCAGCATGATCCCTTGAACCATGGGCACTAACGCCACCACCTGCCATGCAACGTTCTGACGGCCCACCAACTGCACCTGTAGCAGTACCGGCTGTAGCACCACCACCCGTACCAGCAGCAGCAGCAGCAGGCAGAGCATCTGGTTGAGTTGCGGGCGTGGTGGCAGAGGCCTGCGAGGCAGCAGCTCGTAGCTGAGCCTCCACTGCCGCTGCTGCTGCTGCTGTTGCCTCCTGCAGTCGCTGCAGCTCCGCCTCTTCTCCACTGGTACATGCGCACGAGCAGCATGGGATGCATGGGAATGGACGGACGAGTGAATGAGTGGCCTAACTGGTTTCGCCTCCTGCAGCCGCTGCAGTTCTGCTTCTTCTCCACTGGTATGTTTGCACGAGCAGCACGGATTGGATGAATGGGGCGTGGAAGGCACGTGTGCAAGTCATTTCAGCTGGGAGAGTATCGCTCCTCTGGCACCAGCCTCCACTCCCTCATGCTGCAATGTGACGTTTGAGTCGAACCAAAGTCACAACACTTGTCGCTGCCATGTAAGTCACGGCGCCCTATTTGAGGCCCATTCAGGTGCGTGCATCTCACCTGGCGGAGTATCGCTCTTCTGCCACCAGCCTCCACTCCCTCAGGCTGTGATGTGGCTTCTGACTCGACTCAAAGCTACAACAATTATCGTTGCCATGTAAACTCACGGCACATATTCAGGGCACGCTCAGATGGTGCGTGCATCTCATCTCATCTCACCTGGCGGAGTATCGCTCCTCTGGCACCAGCCTCCACTCCCTCAAGCTGTGAGGGGGACGAGAAGAGGGATAGAGAAGGATACAAAGGAATGCACAGGGATGCAAAGGGATGCACAGGGATGTCGAGGGATGCACAGGGATGTCGAGGGATGCACAGGGATGTCGAGGGATGCACAGGGATGTCGAGGGATGCACAGGGATGTCGAGGGATGCACAGGGATGTCGAGGGATGCACAAGGATGTCGAGGGATGCACAGGGATGTCGAGGGATGCACAGGGATGTCGAGGGATGCACAGGGATGTCGAGGGATGCACAGGGATGTCGAGGGATGCACAGGGATGTCGAGGGATGCACAGGGATGTCGAGGGATGCACAGGGATGTCGAGGGATGCACAGGGATGTCGAGGGATGCACAAGGATGTCGAGGGATGCACAGGGATGTCGAGGGATGCACAGGGATGTCGAGGGATGCACAGGGATGTCGAGGGATGCACAGGGATGTCGAGGGATGCACAGGGATGTCGAGGGATGCACAGGAATGTCGAGGGATGCACAGGGATGTCGAGGGATGCACAGGAATGTCGAGGGATGCACAGGGATGTCGAGGGATGCACAGGGATGTCGAGGGATGCACAGGGATGTCGAGGGATGCACAGGGATGTCGAGGGATGCACAGGGATGTCGAGGGATGCACAGGGATGTCGAGGGATGCACAGGGATGTCGAGGGATGCACAGGGATGTCGAGGGATGCACAGGGATGTCGAGGGATGCACAAGGATGTCGAGGGATGCACAGGGATGTCGAGGGATGCACAGGGATGTCGAGGGATGCACAGGGATGTCGAGGGATGCACAGGAATGTCGAGGGATGCACAGGGATGTCGAGGGATGCACAGGGATGTCGAGGGATGCACAGGGATGTCGAGGGATGCACAGGGATGTCGAGGGATGCACAGGGATGTCGAGGGATGCACAGGGATGTCGAGGGATGCACAAGGATGTCGAGGGATGCACAGGGATGTCGAGGGATGCACAGGGATGTCGAGGGATGCACAGGGATGTCGAGGGATGCACAGGAATGTCGAGGGATGCACAGGGATGTCGAGGGATGCACAGGGATGTCGAGGGATGCACAGGGATGTCGAGGGATGCACAGGGATGTCGAGGGATGCACAGGGACACGAGCAATGCAGGACCGGAATGGTCTGGAAGAGAGTCCAACATGCTACAGATAGACCAGCCCTGAGAGGCTTCCTCACCAGAGCCCTAGGCACACATGGTGAACGGTTGTGATGCCTCCAAGGCGCGTTGACTGTTGAGTCGACTCAAAAGAGGCTTCCACCAGTCCCCTAGGCACATATGGTTAACGGCTCTGATGCTTCCAAGGCGCCTCGGAAGGCGTACCCCATTCACACGCCTAAAGTCGAGCTTCACCAGTCCTCCAGCCACACGTGGTTCACGAGTGTGACGTGGTTCATGGTCCTGATGATTCTGAGCAACAGGCTCCCGTACCCCATTCATCCGCGTCTCACCTCAAGCCAAGCCTCACCGGCCGGTCCTCCAGCCACATGTGGTTCACGAGTGTGCTGATTGTGAGCAACATGCCCCAACAGGTCCTCTCACCCCATACATCTGCGTCTCACCTCAAGTCAAGTCTCACCAGTCCTCCAGCCACATGTGGTTCACGGTCCTGAGGTGGTGCCGCCGTGCCACCTCGTACTTTTTGCCTGGCAGCCAACAGGGGTGAAGGGGGAAAATGGGTGGTGGGGAGACGAGTAGGCTAGTGAGTTGACTCAAGAATGTGGTGCCGCCGTGCCACCTCCTACTTTTTGCCTGGCAGCAGGCACACGTGCAGAGGGGACATGTGGGGTGGGGCATGCGTGGTGGGGAGATACGTGGTGGGGAGATGAGCGGTAGTTTTCGGTCGACTCAAAACGTGTCGCAAGCGCACCACCTCGTGCTTGTTGCCTGGCGGCATGGGACGGGTGGGTGGTGGGCGCGCAGACGTGTGGTGGGGAGATGCGGGGGAGGGGAGACGCGTGATGGATTATGTGGAGAAGCGAAGGAGGAAGGTGGAGCATAGGATGGGAGGAGAGAGGTGGCAGGACACAGAGATGCAGATGAGAAGATAGTGAAATAAAATCCAACCGTCTTCCATCGAAATCTCTGCACCGCATTCCTGTGTGACCACTGACCATCTTTTCTACCCTGGAGTTCAGATAAGCAGATAGTGAAATGTGCATGCGTCCGTCCTTCACGCACACAAACCCTTCACGCACACAAACCCGCACGTGCACAAGCGCGCTCGCACCATACCATGTACTCCGCACACATGTGCGTGCGTGCATACACACCACCCACCCACCCACCCACCCAGCCAGCAACCCACTCACCCAGCCAACCAAACCTGCACACACACCTGTGAGCTCGTAGCACACACACCTGTGAGCTCGTAGCACACACACCTCTGAGCTCGTAGCACACGAGGTGTGTGCATACACCAGTGTGGAGCTCCCCTGAGAATCCTGCCCCCATCTGCTTTGCCATGGCCTGAACCGGGGGGGGGGGGGGGGGGGAGGGGGAGGGATGGAAGGAGTGAAGGCATGAGTGAGTGCGGTGCAGTGCGGTGCAGTGTACACGAGGTGTGTGCATACACCAGTGTGGAGCTCCCCCGAGAATCCTGTCCCCATCTGCTTTGCCATGGCCTGAACAAGGGGTGGAGGTCAAAGGAGTGCAGCAGGTGCGGTGCAGTGCACACACGAGATGATGCTGTTACTGGAAATGATGCTCAAATGAGACAAGATGCTCCCACACGTGCCTCCTACTCACTGCGTAAACTCGCTAAGGAGTGACTCGTTATAAACAAGTCTCACCTCCACAATCCACCTCTTGCCTCATGCTGCCACTGTAGCCCGTGCTTCAGCCACTGTAGCCACTGTCCACCACTCGGCACCAGCCGCTTGGCGCCTGGAACGCCACGTGCTCTTTATACTCGCTAAGAAGTACCTGAATACCTCGATATAAGCAGTTTCAGTTCTGACCTCCACGTCTCGCCGCAGGCTGCCACTGTAGCCTGTGACGCTCAGCACCAGCCGCTTGGCACCGGGAATGGCTCCTTTGAACCGCTTGGGGCGATGCAGCACCTGGGGTGGCAGGCAGGTGGGGCAGGTGGAGGGTAGCGAGGGAGAGAGACAAATCAAGGTGCGACAGGCGGGACAGATAGGAAGGGGAGGGTTCGGGGTTATCAAAGCACCAACCGCTTGGCACCGGGAATGCCTCCTTTGAACCGCTTAGGGCGATGCAGCACCTGGGAGGAAAGGCAGGTGGGGCAGGTGGAGTGGGGGGAGACGAGTAAATGTGGGACATGTGGGAGAGGTATTAAAAGGTCGGCCAGGTAGGAAGCGGCGGGTGGATGGTTACCACGGGTTGGGAGAGGTAGGAAGCTTATCACAGCACAAGAGTTATCACAGCACAAGAGTTATCACAGCACAAGAGTTATCACAGCACAAGAGTTATCACAGCACAAGAGTTATCACAGCACAAGAGTTATCACAGCACAAGAGTTATCACAGCACAAGAGTTATCACAGCACAAGAGTTATCACAGCACAAGAGTTATCACAGCACAAGAGTTATCACAGCACAAGAGTTATCACAGCACAAGAGTTATCACAGCACAAGAGTTATCACAGCACAAGAGTTATCACAGCACAAGAGTTATCACAGCACAAGAGTTATCACAGCACAAGAGTTATCACAGCACAAGAGTTATCACAGCACAAGAGTTATCACAGCACAAGAGTTATCACAGCACAAGAGTTATCACAGCACAAGAGTTATCACAGCACAAGAGTTATCACAGCACAAGAGTTATCACAGCACAAGAGTTATCACAGCACAAGAGTTATCACAGCACAAGAGTTATCACAGCACAAGAGTTATCACAGCACTAGCGTTATCACAGCACTAGCGTTATCACAGCACTAGCGTTATCACAGCACTAGCGTTATCACAGCACTAGCGTTATCACAGCACTAGCGTTATCACAGCACTAGCGTTATCACAGCACTAGCGTTATCACAGCACTAGCGTTATCACAGCACTAGCGTTATCACAGCACTAGCGTTATCACAGCACTAGCGTTATCACAGCACTAGCGTTATCACAGCACTAGCGTTATCACAGCACTAGCGTTATCACAGCACTAGCGTTATCACAGCACTAGCGTTATCACAGCACTAGCGTTATCACAGCACTAGCGTTATCACAGCACAAGAGTTATCACAGCACAAGAGTTATCACAGCACAAGAGTTATCACAGCACAAGAGTTATCACAGCACAAGAGTTATCACAGCACAAGAGTTATCACAGCACAAGAGTTATCACAGCACAAGAGTTATCACAGCACAAGAGTTATCACAGCACAAGAGTTATCACAGCACAAGAGTTATCACAGCACAAGAGTTATCACAGCACAAGAGTTATCACAGCACAAGAGTTATCACAGCACAAGAGTTATCACAGCACAAGAGTTATCACAGCACAAGAGTTATCACAGCACAAGAGTTATCACAGCACAAGAGTTATCACAGCACAAGAGTTATCACAGCACAAGAGTTATCACAGCACAAGAGTTATCACAGCACAAGAGTTATCACAGCACAAGAGTTATCACAGCACAAGAGTTATCACAGCACAAGAGTTATCACAGCACAAGAGTTATCACAGCACAAGAGTTATCACAGCACAAGAGTTATCACAGCACAAGAGTTATCACAGCACAAGAGTTATCACAGCACAAGAGTAGCGTTATCACAGCACTAGCGTTATCACAGCACTAGCGTTATCACAGCACTAGCGTTATCACAGCACTAGCGTTATCACAGCACTAGCGTTATCACAGCACTAGCGTTATCACAGCACTAGCGTTATCACAGCACTAGCGTTATCACAGCACTAGCGTTATCACAGCACTAGCGTTATCACAGCACTAGCGTTATCACAGCACTAGCGTTATCACAGCACTAGCGTTATCACAGCACTAGCGTTATCACAGCACTAGCGTTATCACAGCACTAGCGTTATCACAGCACTAGCGTTATCACAGCACTAGCGTTATCACAGCACTAGCGTTATCACAGCACTAGCGTTATCACAGCACTAGCGTTATCACAGCACTAGCGTTATCACAGCACTAGCGTTATCACAGCACTAGCGTTATCACAGCACTAGCGTTATCACAGCACTAGCGTTATCACAGCACTAGCGTTATCACAGCACTAGCGTTATCACAGCACAGATGTTATCACAGCACAAGAGTTATCACAGCACAAGAGTTATCACAGCACAAGAGTTATCACAGCACAAGAGTTATCACAGCACAAGAGTTATCACAGCACAAGAGTTATCACAGCACAAGAGTTATCACAGCACAAGAGTTATCACAGCACAAGAGTTATCACAGCACAAGAGTTATCACAGCACAAGAGTTATCACAGCACAAGAGTTATCACAGCACAAGAGTTATCACAGCACTAGCGTTATCACAGCACTAGCGTTATCACAGCACTAGCGTTATCACAGCACTAGCGTTATCACAGCACTAGCGTTATCACAGCACTAGCGTTATCACAGCACTAGCGTTATCACAGCACTAGCGTTATCACAGCACTAGCGTTATCACAGCACTAGCGTTATCACAGCACTAGCGTTATCACAGCACTAGCGTTATCACAGCACTAGCGTTATCACAGCACTAGCGTTATCACAGCACTAGCGTTATCACAGCACTAGCGTTATCACAGCACTAGCGTTATCACAGCACTAGCGTTATCACAGCACTAGCGTTATCACAGCACTAGCGTTATCACAGCACTAGCGTTATCACAGCACTAGCGTTATCACAGCACTAGCGTTATCACAGCACTAGCGTTATCACAGCACTAGCGTTATCACAGCACTAGCGTTATCACAGCACTAGCGTTATCACAGCACTAGCGTTATCACAGCACTAGCGTTATCACAGCACTAGCGTTATCACAGCACTAGCGTTATCACAGCACTAGCGTTATCACAGCACAAGAGTTATCACAGCACAAGAGTTATCACAGCACAAGAGTTATCACAGCACAAGAGTTATCACAGCACAAGAGTTATCACAGCACAAGAGTTATCACAGCACAAGAGTTATCACAGCACTAGCGTTATCACAGCACTAGCGTTATCACAGCACTAGCGTTATCACAGCACTAGCGTTATCACAGCACTAGCGTTATCACAGCACTAGCGTTATCACAGCACTAGCGTTATCACAGCACTAGCGTTATCACAGCACTAGCGTTATCACAGCACTAGCGTTATCACAGCACTAGCGTTATCACAGCACTAGCGTTATCACAGCACTAGCGTTATCACAGCACTAGCGTTATCACAGCACTAGCGTTATCACAGCACTAGCGTTATCACAGCACTAGCGTTATCACAGCACTAGCGTTATCACAGCACTAGCGTTATCACAGCACTAGCGTTATCACAGCACTAGCGTTATCACAGCACTAGCGTTATCACAGCACTAGCGTTATCACAGCACTAGCGTTATCACAGCACTAGCGTTATCACAGCACTAGCGTTATCACAGCACTAGCGTTATCACAGCACTAGCGTTATCACAGCACTAGCGTTATCACAGCACTAGCGTTATCACAGCACTAGCGTTATCACAGCACTAGCGTTATCACAGCACTAGCGTTATCACAGCACTAGCGTTATCACAGCACTAGCGTTATCACAGCACTAGCGTTATCACAGCACTAGCGTTATCACAGCACTAGCGTTATCACAGCACTAGCGTTATCACAGCACTAGCGTTATCACAGCACTAGCGTTATCACAGCACTAGCGTTATCACAGCACTAGCGTTATCACAGCACTAGCGTTATCACAGCACTAGCGTTATCACAGCACTAGCGTTATCACAGCACTAGCGTTATCACAGCACTAGCGTTATCACAGCACTAGCGTTATCACAGCACTAGCGTTATCACAGCACTAGCGTTATCACAGCACTAGCGTTATCACAGCACAAGAGTTATCACAGCACAAGAGTTATCACAGCACAAGAGTTATCACAGCACAAGAGTTATCACAGCACAAGAGTTATCACAGCACAAGAGTTATCACAGCACAAGAGTTATCACAGCACTAGCGTTATCACAGCACTAGCGTTATCACAGCACTAGCGTTATCACAGCACTAGCGTTATCACAGCACTAGCGTTATCACAGCACTAGCGTTATCACAGCACTAGCGTTATCACAGCACTAGCGTTATCACAGCACTAGCGTTATCACAGCACTAGCGTTATCACAGCACTAGCGTTATCACAGCACTAGCGTTATCACAGCACTAGCGTTATCACAGCACTAGCGTTATCACAGCACTAGCGTTATCACAGCACTAGCGTTATCACAGCACTAGCGTTATCACAGCACTAGCGTTATCACAGCACTAGAGTTATCACAGCACTAGCGTTATCACAGCACTAGCGTTATCACAGCACTAGCGTTATCACAGCACTAGCGTTATCACAGCACAAGAGTTATCACAGCACAAGAGTTATCACAGCACTAGCGTTATCACAGCACTAGCGTTATCACAGCACTAGCGTTATCACAGCACTAGCGTTATCACAGCACAAGAGTTATCACAGCACAAGAGTTATCACAGCACAAGAGTTATCACAGCACAAGAGTTATCACAGCACAAGAGTTATCACAGCACTAGCGTTATCACAGCACTAGCGTTATCACAGCACTAGCGTTATCACAGCACTAGCGTTATCACAGCACTAGCGTTATCACAGCACTAGCGTTATCACAGCACTAGCGTTATCACAGCACTAGCGTTATCACAGCACTAGCGTTATCACAGCACTAGCGTTATCACAGCACTAGCGTTATCACAGCACTAGCGTTATCACAGCACTAGCGTTATCACAGCACTAGCGTTATCACAGCACTAGCGTTATCACAGCACTAGCGTTATCACAGCACTAGCGTTATCACAGCACTAGCGTTATCACAGCACTAGCGTTATCACAGCACCAGCGTTATCACAGCACCAGCGTTATCACAGCACCAGCGTTATCACAGCACCAGCGTTATCACAGCACCAGCGTTATCACAGCACCAGCGTTATCACAGCACTAGCGTTATCACAGCACTAGCGTTATCACAGCACTAGCGTTATCACAGCACTAGCGTTATCACAGCACTAGCGTTATCACAGCACTAGCGTTATCACAGCACTAGCGTTATCACAGCACTAGCGTTATCACAGCACTAGCGTTATCACAGCACTAGCGTTATCACAGCACTAGCGTTATCACAGCACTAGCGTTATCACAGCACTAGCGTTATCACAGCACTAGCGTTATCACAGCACTAGCGTTATCACAGCACTAGCGTTATCACAGCACTAGCGTTATCACAGCACTAGCGTTATCACAGCACTAGCGTTATCACAGCACTAGCGTTATCACAGCACTAGCGTTATCACAGCACTAGCGTTATCACAGCACTAGCGTTATCACAGCACTAGCGTTATCACAGCACTAGCGTTATCACAGCACTAGCGTTATCACAGCACAAGAGTTATCACAGCACAAGAGTTATCACAGCACAAGAGTTATCACAGCACAAGAGTTATCACAGCACAAGAGTTATCACAGCACAAGAGTTATCACAGCACAAGAGTTATCACAGCACTAGCGTTATCACAGCACTAGCGTTATCACAGCACTAGCGTTATCACAGCACTAGCGTTATCACAGCACTAGCGTTATCACAGCACTAGCGTTATCACAGCACTAGCGTTATCACAGCACTAGCGTTATCACAGCACTAGCGTTATCACAGCACTAGCGTTATCACAGCACTAGCGTTATCACAGCACTAGCGTTATCACAGCACTAGCGTTATCACAGCACTAGCGTTATCACAGCACTAGCGTTATCACAGCACTAGCGTTATCACAGCACTAGCGTTATCACAGCACTAGCGTTATCACAGCACTAGCGTTATCACAGCACTAGCGTTATCACAGCACTAGCGTTATCACAGCACTAGCGTTATCACAGCACTAGCGTTATCACAGCACAAGAGTTATCACAGCACTAGCGTTATCACAGCACTAGCGTTATCACAGCACTAGCGTTATCACAGCACTAGCGTTATCACAGCACTAGCGTTATCACAGCACTAGCGTTATCACAGCACTAGCGTTATCACAGCACTAGCGTTATCACAGCACTAGCGTTATCACAGCACTAGCGTTATCACAGCACTAGCGTTATCACAGCACTAGCGTTATCACAGCACCAGCGTTATCACAGCACTAGCGTTATCACAGCACCAGCGTTATCACAGCACCAGCGTTATCACAGCACCAGCGTTATCACAGCACTAGCGTTATCACAGCACTAGCGTTATCACAGCACTAGCGTTATCACAGCACTAGCGTTATCACAGCACTAGCGTTATCACAGCACTAGCGTTATCACAGCACTAGCGTTATCACAGCACTAGCGTTATCACAGCACTAGCGTTATCACAGCACTAGCGTTATCACAGCACTAGCGTTATCACAGCACCAGCGTTATCACAGCACCAGCGTTATCACAGCACTAGCGTTATCACAGCACTAGCGTTATCACAGCACTAGCGTTATCACAGCACTAGCGTTATCACAGCACTAGCGTTATCACAGCACTAGCGTTATCACAGCACTAGCGTTATCACAGCACTAGCGTTATCACAGCACTAGCGTTATCACAGCACTAGCGTTATCACAGCACTAGCGTTATCACAGCACTAGCGTTATCACAGCACTAGCGTTATCACAGCACTAGCGTTATCACAGCACTAGCGTTATCACAGCACTAGCGTTATCACAGCACTAGCGTTATCACAGCACTAGCGTTATCACAGCACTAGCGTTATCACAGCACTAGCGTTATCACAGCACTAGCGTTATCACAGCACTAGCGTTATCACAGCACTAGCGTTATCACAGCACTAGCGTTATCACAGCACTAGCGTTATCACAGCACTAGCGTTATCACAGCACCTAGCGTTATCACAGCACTAGCGTTATCACAGCACCAGCGTTATCACAGCACTAGCGTTATCACAGCACTAGCGTTATCACAGCACTAGCGTTATCACAGCACTAGCGTTATCACAGCACTAGCGTTATCACAGCACTAGCGTTATCACAGCACTATCGTTATCACAGCACTAGCGTTATCACAGCACTAGCGTTATCACAGCACTAGCGTTATCACAGCACTAGCGTTATCACAGCACTAGCGTTATCACAGCACTAGCGTTATCACAGCACTAGCGTTATCACAGCACTAGCGTTATCACAGCACTAGCGTTATCACAGCACTAGCGTTATCACAGCACTAGCGTTATCACAGCACTAGCGTACCAGTTAAAGAAGGGCAGAACATCTGTCGCATACCATTGAGAGGGGCAGGATGGGTTAGCATACCGAGGAGAGGGGCAGGATGGGTTAGCATACCGAGGAGAGGGGCAGGATGGGTTAGCATACCGAGGAGAGGGGCAGGATGCGGGAGTGGCGGAGGCAGTGGGCGAGCCACCTGGCAGTCACCACCACCTTGCCGTCGCCCTCTGCCCTCACGCACAGCTCGTCCTCCTGGTGGGGAGGGGGTGGAGAGATTGGAGTGGGGCCGAGGGACCATGCATGTGTGGTATGGGCGGGGCATGCGGGGGAAGTGACCACCACCTTGCCATCGCCCTCTGCCCTCATGCACAGCTCGTCCTCCTGGCGTGGTGGATGGGCAAAAGGAGAGGATAGATGGGTGGGGAGGGGAAGCCGTTGTATCCTCTGCACACATTCACGTCACAGCAGCAGTGGGCGTGGGCGTGGGGAGGACTGGGCAGTGGTGGAGGGCTGTTCTCACACACTCTCTGTTCTCACACACTCTCTGTTCTCACACACTCTCTGTTCTCACACATGAAGTGTTCTGCTGGGGAGAAAAGACATGTGAGGGCTGCACGGCATGGGTGCAGGTGGCAACGGAAGGGGAGACACCTGTAAGATGTGACAGGTGTGTTACCACATTCCCAGAGGGTGTGTTACCCATCATGGTTACCACATTCCCAGAGGGTGTGTTACCCCATCATGGTTACCACATTCCCAGAGGATGTGTTACCCCATCATGGTTACCACATTCCCAGAGGGTGTGTTACCCCATCATGGTTACCACATTTCCAGAGGGTGTGTTACCCCATCATGGTTATCACATTCCCAGAGGGTGTGTTATCCCAGCATGGTTACCACAGTCCCAGGTGGTGTGTTACCCCATCATGGTTACCATGGTCCACAGTTGGGGCCGCATTACCATGGTGACGTCAGCGCGACCACGAGGGAGTGTGTTACCAGTCTGGTTACCAAAGTGCAGGGAAGTGTTACGGTGCATTACCATGGTGAGGTCATCGACAATCACGAGGGAGCAGGCGGGGTCAAAAGCGGGCAGCACCGTCCCACCTGCGCGCCTCACATTCTCCTCAACCTGTGTGGTCGGGCGGGGGAGGAAGAGGGCAGGTTGAGTAGCCATGTGACCATGGTGCGAGTAAGGGGCACTTGTGGGAACGATGGTATGGTGACTGACAGGGGAGTAAGAGTCTGGATGTGAGAAACAAGCAACGTATCGATGGTGCGAGTCAAGGGAAGTTGTGGGAAAGAACGGAATGGTGATTGTCAGGGGAGTCAGGTCAGAAGGGAAGGGAAGGTGCCATCAGGAGCGATGACCTGAAGGGTTGATCTGTTAGGACTTGACCGGAGGGGAGTAAGGATGAGGGGAGATGACCTGAGACGGCTGACAACGTGACACATGACTCGGACACAAATAAACGCCACGCCTAGAGCGACTCTTGGTTCTAATGGCACGCCTGGATCGACTCTTTCGCTTGAAGCATGCCTAGAGCCTCCCTCCGATCATTCTGACAGCCCCATTCCGACCTTCTTCATGACGTCGGCGGACGAGCCGCCCACCGCGACGCGCATTCCCGTGAGGAACAGTCCAAAATCGCCAGCTCGGACTACTATTGCCTCTGCCTGCGCCACCTCAGCCCGCTGCTGCTTCCGCGTGCCTTCCAGCTGCGTCGCTTGCGCCGCTACCATGGCTGCGTCGCTCTCCCCTGCGTCGCTCCTCGCGTCGCTGTTCCGTGCAGAGACAACGTTTGTTTGACACTACACAGCAGACTGACTCAGAGGGTCAGGCGACGGATGGAAGGGCCGGAGAGATTGACGAATACACCTAGTCGAGTTGGAGGTGTCATCGGGGGGAGCGAGCGGCGCCCGTCACGGGTGCGTCTCGTTGCGAGAAGTGGACTCGGACAATGGTTCTGCGGAGCGATTCCGGCAAACTACGTCGAGATGCTACGGTGTAGTGCGGTAAGGTCCGGCTGAAGCGGTACACGATATCGACGAGACTGACCTCGAGTCGAGGGACGCTGCCGCGGAAGCAATGGAGGCTTGTTCAATACGACACGAGCGGGTGTCAGGAGAGCGTGATCAACGTTTGGGTGAATCCCAAGGTGGGTGCGAGCCACCTGGAGAATTTTGAGTATCTAACTTCTCGTCGCATTGCACCCAGTGCTGAACTAGCTTTCCTGACAATTACGGTTGCTGTGGCCAGCTACCTCATTACGCATTTCGGACCGCTGCCATGGTACGGTATCATACTCCCAACAGTCTGTTCTCGGAGTGTACTTCTGAGTCAGCTCATCACATCGAATGTCAGGAAGCGGTATTCTTGCGCTCTCGGGGTAGGCTTGAATTGCTGCTACCAGCACTGGTGTTAGTTTAGGTGGGAAATGCGTTGATTGGCTCACCAGCTCATCGGCCTGGTTCAAACATTTGAAGAGGGTATCTCCAGGATGTGGAATGGCTATAAAGAGTATGTACAATCAAGCGTTTATATTCTATCGACTGTGTTATATACTGTATCGATGTACACCACAAGCCACAAACCATTCCTCCTGCCATCTTCAAATCGGCGGTTCTAGAAACATCACCTCATTGCTGACATGGCGGGATCCTAGCCGCAGACAAAGCCGTCCGTCCGCAATTCCCAGACTTCTGGGTTACCAGAAAGTCGATCCGATACATCCAATCACCATCCTACCACCCATGTAGTGGTGTGGTGAGGTGGTGTGCTCTGCTCTCCCCCCAACCCACTCTTCTCTTTCGACTCAGGTGTGGTGCGGTGTGAAGTGAACTCTCCGGAGGGGGAAAAACAGTCTTGTTTGCTTGTCGTCACCTACCATATCACACACATCAGTATCAGACTTGCCCGAAGTACTTTCTTAGACGAGACGAGATGTTGGTGCAACCCTACGGTTTGCACTCGGCTTGTTGTCCGTGTGCGTGAATGTGTGTGTGTATGGAATGGTATGAGGGCATGGGATAATATATATTTCATGCTTATAATTGTGTGTGAATGTTGAGTCATGATGTCGAGTGTGTGTGTCGAGTCAATAGCGAGTTATCGCTAGACGCGTGTTACGCGGTCGTTTGTGTCTCGCGCGCGGTTTCTATTTTGTCGTGCGCGGTTTCTATTTTGTCCTGTGTCGAACGTTCGGCGTGTCGCAGGTGTGTGCAGCAGACCCATCAAGAACTCAAGGATGATTTTGTGATGAAGAGCCCGAGCCTTGGTGTCAAGCCTCAAGTGATTTCGAAGCTTGCCAAAAGGGTACACCTCAAGATATTGAAGATAGTTACATTACTTTGTGTAGTGTAACATTTCACTTGGTGTAGGCCCTAGTGAAGGGTAGTTTCGAGACCCTTCGTGGTTGGGGACAGTGTGGCACTGTTCCACATCACTGTACCTCGGCTCTTGGGGTTTGTTAGGAGCTGGGAGTCATTCCCAACTCGTAACTCTTCCTATCTTGTGTTCTAAGACTATAGTGGCTGCCATAGTACCGTTCGTTCAAACCGACGCTGTGTCGTCAATTCTTTATCAAATCGTGCAATCTAAATTGCTAATTGTAGACGACGTGAAGACGCTCCAGATCCAATTTGAATCAAGTCATTTGCAGCTGTGAGCAGAACGCTATCAACGTTTGAAGCCGCTGTGCAGAACTCCGTCTGTGCTCTCTATCTTTCGTTTTAGGCACATTCAAGCCTATTGTGACTATAACAAGTGGTATCAGAGCCCCTTGGAGCAGTTTCGACAATGGCTGGACCTGAGGAAAGGGGTGGCAGAGGTGCTGGTGGCAATGGAGATGCCCAAGCACAAGGCCAAGCCCGTGAGTCAGCCGTGGCGCCCGTGCAACCGACTCTTGGACCTTCTAGGGACGAACCAAGAGTGTTCGGGCTTGACAAGTTCAACGGCGACAACTTTGCTGAATGGTCCTTCAGAATGGAGAATGTGTTCGACCACTATGACCTGCTGGAGGTGATGGAAGGAACGGAGAAGCGTCCCGAGAACGACCCGGAGAAGAGCCCGTGGGTGCGGAAGAGCGTACAAGGCTACCTCCTACTTGGGCAAGCGTTGGGGAGCAGCCAGATCCGTCACATCAAGCCATTCCAGCGTGAACCAGAGAAGGGACCAAAGGCATGGGCTGCTCTCAAGGGTGTACATGCTCCTGCAACAGCGGCGGTAGCTGTGGTGTTGGAACGGCAAATGGCGACGCTACGAATTGAGGAAGATGAACCCGTGGAAGACGGGGTGCAGAAATTCTTCGACTTGTTGACGCGGCTTGAGGGAGCTGATTTGAACTACAGTGAGCTCCAGAAGAAGACCAAGTTGCTGGCCCTACTCCCCGAGTCGTGGTCCTCACTCATCATCAACTTGAACCGTGACCTGCCCCGTCTCTCGCTTGAAGACGTGAAACGCGCAATCCTACAAGAGGACTTCCGCCGCCGTGAGTTGGCGAGGCGAGCGGATTCTATGGGACCTTCATGAGGATAGGGACGTCTACAATGAGATGTGGCAGATCCCTGTGGTCCCCATGCCTAAGGAGAGGCAAGTGGCAGCAAGTGTCAGCACCAAGGGTGAAGCGGTTGGTAGCGGAGATGGTGCGAACGGTCGCGCTAAGGAGAACGAGTCCAAGAAGAGCAATCTTGGAGGGACCAGCAAGCTCGGTGAACCTAAGGAGAGAGGTGCAGCAGCCAAGGAGCAGCACAAGGGTGAGGAGAACCCCGAGGCAGCAGCGGAGGAGGAGTACGGAGAGAGCATGTGGGGCGCTATTGCGAGTGCGGCATTCTCCAATCCGACTTCGGCTACGGGGGAGTGTGATTGGCTTACCTTGCATCGGCGAATGGGGCATGTGGCCCTGCCTATCTTGCAGCAGCTAGTGAAGAATGAGATGGTTGCTGGCATACGTGTGAAGGGGGAGCCTGATGAGGTGCTTGGCTGCCCGACGTGCATTCAAGCCAAGTTCACCCGGTTTCCGTTCCCTAGTTCGGAGGCAACGGCAAAGGCACCACTTGATGAGGTGGTGATGGACGTGGTGGGCCCCCTGAAGCTTGGAGCTGCTGGAGCTGAGTATTTTCTCACCATTGTCGACGTCTACACCCGCATGACTTGGGTGTATGTGCTGGCCAAGAAGAGCGACGTGGCTGAAACGTTGAAGACGGATTGGTTCCCGATGGTGGAGCGGCAACAAGACCGTCTAGTCAAGTCAATCCGCACCGATCGAGGGGGAGAGTTCCTGAGCAAGGAGTTTGGGTTGTGGCTGAAGAAGAATGGTATTCGGCACTCCCTCACCATGCCATACTCCCCTGCAATGAACGGCATCGCCGAGCGAGCGAACCGCACAATCACGGAGGCGGCACGCGGGTTGCTCATTGAAGCCGGACTACCCGACTATTTCTGGCCTGATGCGGTGCGGAGCGCGTGTGTGGCCAAGAACAGAGCCTTGACTCATGTGGGAGCAGATAAATGGGTGCCCTATGTGGAGTGGCTAGGAAGGAAGCCAAAGGTGGATATGCTTCGGGTGTTCGGGTGCATGTGCATGGCGCTCGTGCCTAAGCATCTTCGGCACAACAAGCTTGGTGCCAAGGCGGTGTGGGCCGTGCACTTGGGCATGGCTCAAAACAGCAAGGGATGGCTTCTTTGGGACCCATTCACCAAGAAGTTCTTGGTGAGCAGGGACTGCAAGTTCATGGAGAACTTCATGTACAAGGATTGGAAGGCGGAGAATGAGGCGAAGATAGGCGTGCGGTTTGGGGAGGTGAAGAGTTCCGGTTTGGAGCATGTGGAGCTGCCTTTGGAGCTGAGAAGCGGCAGCACAACCACGAGGCAATCCTCCCTCGTGAATGGGGGAGAGGAGGCCAATGATGCAGAGGAAGAAGAGGAGGAGGTGCAGCAAGTGAGCGAGCGTGCACCGTCACTCCCTTCCCGTACTACGAGTGCTCCACGGATTCGAGCCACACCGCAGCAACGCCAAGGCCTTCAAGTCCCTGCAGCTGAGGAGGAAGGAAGGGGGAAGAGGAGAGTTCAACCCCCTAATAGGCTGACCTATGATGCGCCGGGAAAGCAGGGCAAGACAGCCCTGGCCGGAGCGGCAATGATGGTCGGAGACGACGAGGAGAGTGACTACGAGGAGTGTGCCTTCGCGTTCTTCTCTCCGGTGGAGATGCCGGGAGAACCAGCAACTCTCAAGGAGGCTTTGGAGAGTAGTGATGCTGAGGAGTGGAAGAAGGCCATGGAGAGTGAGCTGAAGAGCATCGAGGAGAATGACACGTTTGAATTGGTGGAGCTACCGGAGGGGCGTACGGCGATAACGTCCAAGTGGCTCTTCAAAATCAAGTCGGATGCCGATGGCAAGATCGAGCGCTACAAGTCTAGGCTTGTAGCCAAGGGGTACCAGCAGAAGGAGAAGGTGGACTTCAAGGAGCTGTTTGCCCCTGTGGTGAAGCCGACGACGCTGCGAACCCTATTCGCGGGAGCCGCCATCAAAGGATGGGTAGTAAAGCAAATGGACATCGTAACGGCATTCCTTAACGGCATCCTTGAGGAGGAGATTTTTATGGCGCAGCCAGAGGGGTTTGATGATGGTAGTGGCAGAGTGTGGAAGCTGAAGAAGGCCCTCTATGGGCTGAAGCAGGCCCCTAGGCAATGGTACATGAAGCTGCGCGAAGTGTTGGAGGGGATCGGCTTCACTCCCTCAACG